ATGTTCGTAATTTTTTTGATTGTATTTGGGTGAAATACCCAGAGTTCCAAGCGACTACCTCGAGGGAAGAATAAGCTTCAAGAGCGCACAAAATAAATAAATTCTAGGCTAAATGGCACTGGGCTAAATTTTGCCTAGTACCATTTATGGAAGTAAGAGGGTGAATTCTACTATGGCAGTCGATACTACAGATGGCGCTTATCAAAACTATTTAGATCTATTAACTGTTCAAAAAAAATTGCGTCGTGTGACATGATATTTGAACTTTTTGTCGAGACTCCCAGGCCCAACTTTGATGTTTTGAGATAAAAATTGTCTTTAAAATGCCGGCGCTTCAGGCAATCTTCCAGAAAGTTAACTTTCCCTATTTCGCCATTTAATGCTCAACTTCCCGACAGTCTAGTGAAGTTTACTTAAAGAATGTTTACTCTTTTGGTCCCACGCGAAAGGATGTTTCATATCGATAAGTTGTTTGACTTAGATGGATATCGTTTATTAAAACAATTTATCATAAAAATTGCGGTTATTATCCGTACGCAAAAGTTGATAATAAAACAAACAGGCACGCTATAATCTAAAATTCGTCACCATAAACGTGAACGATGGAAATGTCTACCTGAACCAAGATCGATAATGCTTGCGGAGTTAAAGTGGGAGAGAAAAGTGTATATTAGCTGAACCAGTTCAAAAAGTGACGACTTGAAAATGTCTTGAGTGTTTGATTTCGCTGATATTAAATTTAGGTTTCGTGATTCATACCAAGAACCCCAACCCTTTACCCCGACTCAGCAATACCAGGGCTCTCACGTACTCCATACAGCTTCTTGCCATATAATAGGGTTTTAAAACATGGAAGGAAAGCTAACATTGGTGTCTGTAGTGACTGCAGTTAAGTCGTCGCCTTCTTTCCAAAAGAAAACTGCCAGGTCTGTAATAAAGTAAGCAAATATGACAAAGTTGTTGCTATCTTTTTTATCAAAGAAGTTAATCTAAACTGGTTAAATTGCTCTAGGCTTTGAGGATGAAGAGATTCCTAGTGTTCATCAGTGGTGTAGAGTTGCAGCTTTTCAGTTAATTTAAACAATTTGGTTCTTGAAGACTAAGTCATTGCCCTTAGTTTTCTTCTAATAAGATAAAACTTTTGATATATTGGTGGCAATTTCTGACGTAACACGAACCTTACTGCACGACAAATATCTTACCTTCCGTTTCTACGTCGAATGGGTCAAACTCCAGAGAAGATACGGACAATTCTTCGTCCAAACTTTCTGGGTCCGGCTTAATTTCCGGGTGGTCAGTATTCTCCACGGCAAGGATATCTGTCATGTGTGAAATATAAAGTGCTGCCAGGCGTATGGTGTCGGTCTTCGAAGGTTTTCGTTCATGTGGAAACAGTGGTATGAGGTCGCGCAACCGATCAATGCAATCGTTGATCGTATGAACACGATTTCTTTCTCGCGTATTAGCGATTCTCCTCTGCTTACTTAAGCCTGTCAAACGTCTTCCGCGGCGCTTGGTTTTCTTTTTTGACGGTGGTGTTTTGGGCGATTCATCTGCGACTTCGCTCTCCATGTCTTCTATGTCTTGTGTGAACTTAGTTCTAAGATCTGTTTTCTTTTAAACGACGACGGCTTATTAGAATTGTGCAAAGATCGATCGCTATCGTTGGAGACGCAGGTTATTAGTTGCCTTGTCACAGACGTCATTAAAGGTGCCTACTTGACTATGAACTTGTTTAAAAACAAGTAAAAATAACCCATTTACTAAAACACTAAATAGAGCCATCGGTCGGGCAGTCATGCAAAACTCCTGTATATCAAACAATCTTGTCAGCATACAAAAGAAACATTTTAAAAAGTTTAGCTCAAATGTCAACCATTCCAACAATCTCAGTTTATAAACACTTTCTCAGTGTCTAAACACTTCTACCAACTGACCCAAACATTCCACTGCATTTTTAGCGAAGTAATCAACTCCAAAGAAAACACTCTTATTCATTCAGTTTAAACGAAACTTTAACCACAAAAAAGTCCTCAAAAGTTCGTTCATTGAGGTATTTGCGTCATCGGATATGCTTCAAAAATCACGGAAGTACCCCTTTGTAAATTTCTATCAACGGCTTAACAAGTGGTTGCTTAATAACTTGTGGTATGCCATAACAACCACCCTGCAGTTGTCTCATATCAGTGTGTATAGACCGTTTAAATATCTGTGGTTCTAGACCACACAGTCAAAACAATTCGTTTTCGGACGATAACTATTGGCCGAGAGCAAAATATCCTTTTTTAATGACGTCAGTATAAAGGTCGTTATACAAGACTTCATCGCTGGCATACCTGAAGTAAGAATTATCGTATTGCTGGCGTTCAGGGCGAGCTTTTGACTTTTGCTGTTCGTTTGCAATGTGTGGGAGAACTGGGCATTAGTTCAAACACGCGCATGTTTCTTTTTCAGTTATCATCAGTATTATCATTATAATCATAACTATTACAAAATTCTCAAATCTGATTGGCTATCAACTGTCCTGATTTCAGCACTAATAGCACAGTGAAAGAGGACAGTACGCGTCATGCCTAAGTAATTGGACAGTACGCGCCGTCGCACGCGCGCACTTAAATGGCTTTTTTCACTGCTAACAAAAAAACTCTCGAACGTTCTGGTGTTTTAATCAAAAAGGCTTAAAATAGCGCAAATTTTGTTATAGTTATGATTAATTGGTAACAAAACTTTGGGTCATCCAATTCGGTCGTAATCATACTCGTGATTAAACAAATCGGACTGCCACTAGGCGGTCGTCCGATTATTGTTGACTAGTTTGAGTTTACACACCGAATTGGACTCGACTCAGTCCTATTACCATTATTCTATTTTTAAAAAAATAATAAAATAGCCTATCCTGGAGAAAATGAGCTGAAGATTATTGATCACTAGACGGTAAAGGATTTGAACTATTTGGTTCGTTTGTACCACTCCTAACATCCAACTCGAAGGAACAGATGCTGCATTTGTGTTGCTCTTTCTTACTGGAAATCTGCGCAGCAAGGTTAAACCTATGAGAAGCTGGGCTGAAATAGCTTAGCATAACCCTCACCATTCAGTTGTTGTTGTTGTTATTTTGCAACTTTTTCGTCCTTTTTTAATTAAAAGAGCCTCTCTCTGAGGAATTTTGCTGAAGATTATTAATTACTAGAATGGCAATGAGTGAGCAGGTTGGGTGGTGAGTCAGGCCACTAACAACATCCAACTCAAAGGACCAGGTGCTTCATTTGTGTGGCTCTCACTTGCTGTTGGGCAAAATTAAACCTATGAGGGGCTGGGTTGAACATCAATGGCCAAACACTGGGTCAGCTGGACGAAACGCTTTTTTCACGTGTGTGAAAGTCGTTTCGCCATTCTGATTGGCTGCGAACCCTGAACAGGGTTTTCACACGCCAAATTTCAATAGAAAAAACAAGACCAAAAGAGGGCATGATACAAGATAATCGTTATTGTTGTTGTTGTTGTTGTTGTTGTTTTTTGCTTTTTCCCTTTTTTTTTAAAAGAGCCTCTGTTTGCTGATGAAATGAAATTATGACTATTTGACTGCTTTCTTTTAATCCTTCAGGAAGCATTTGAGATTGTGCTAAGTTGGCATGTTTATCTCACGTACATTTCTACATTGTATGATTTAGTTACCTTGACTGTGGTGACCTTGAGATACAGCTGGTTATCACTTCTAAGAAACATGTCGATGAGAACAACGTTTTTGACACAAGCGCCTTAGTTAAACCAAAACATTTTGCACCACTATCCAGATGCCGAGTGTTTTGTCTAGTTCAGTGTTTGATTTAAACAGAAAATTAGTACAACAAAACTGAATGCAGGGCTGGTTTAGTTTTATCTGCTATAAAAAGGGCAATCAATTCTGTTGGATGGTTCTTCATCAGTCTTCTACTACCCGTTTCCCGAATCCCCTATCGTAAAATTGCGATATCCCTGGCCTGCGTATACAGCCTGCGCTCCTCTTCGCTAGGGATGGCGAGTTGGAAGAAGAGACGACGGTATTCGCAGGTTACCACATCCTGCATCCCGTTCACAATGACAATGCTGGACCTCGCTCCTCTTTTGCTCTAAAATCCTGTTTCCTGACCTTCTAATAACGGCAGATCCTGGCTCCCGAAATCTATCGGGGACTGTCTAATGACTTGGATATCCTTCATGAACTAAGTGAGGCCTGCATCCCTGTTTCTTTCAGGTGGAAGTTTCCTTTCCCCTTACATGCACAGCAGGTAATTTCAAGAATAAATACTACTATTTATTAGCCGAGAGCGAGGTCATTACTAGGAAATCTCAGACCTAGGCCTTGATGTATTGACCTAGCGATCGCTCGGCCAATACATCAAGGCTGAGGTCTGAGGTCTGAGGTTTCCCTGTAATGGTCGAACAGACGATGGACTTAAGCCTGCGATCAATTAAAACCAACAACTGGTCACCGGATAACGTTTAAAGAACGCGTCACCTCAATGAGTTGTACACTTGATCCCGCGATACAGTCAGGTGACCATAACATGAATGTCCATAAGGATGTCCACCATCAAGTTGAACACAGATTGTTTATGCCTTGGACACCAAGCTAGTAATGCCCGGTCATTACAAGAAAACAGCCAATCAGAGCGTACTATTGTAGCCATATCGATAATAATAGGTAATAACTACAAATATAGCTTGTGGGAGCAGTTTCCCGTTTTGCTTTAGTCATGATTGATTTTTACAGTTCTCCCTTGTACATAAGTAGTTTCCATTTCATGTAATTGGGCTAGTTTCTCCGTGTTAACAAGTCTTTTGATCACAAATTAAAGCGCGAAGCCCTTTTTGAACTCGCTAAGAGCTGCAGACGGCGTAAGATTACAAACGACTGGCACGGGCACGAATGAGGCGTGAGGAAATTGTTTGTCTTGGGTACCATTTTATTTGCTTGAACTTTGTTTATATTTGTTTATTTCTCTTATGTCGGGGAAAGGCCAAAATCTAGTAAAAACAAGCTTTAATTAATAGTTGCTAAAACGGAAGATGGGAAATTTGAGAAAAGGATCTCAATACAACCAGAAAAAAACATCAAGAAAAAAGCCAAGGCGAAAACCGATTCGTTTGACGGGTGTAAGCCAGCAACGGAGGAAAGCAAACGAGCGCGAACGACGGAGAGTGCAGACTTTAAACTCCCGTATCGAGATTCTACGAGATCATATTCCGCTGCCGCCACTAGGAAAACGACCAACGAACACCGAGGTGATATGGATGGCAGCCACTTACATTGAATTTCTCACGGAGTTGCTTAAGAAGAGTGAGAAACCCAGTGAGTTCCCATTGAAAACGTTTTCCGCGGAGGAACAGAGCGTGTCGCAAGGTCTGGATGCCGCCTTAGATGCTACAGGTCAGAATCGTGCTAAAACTTTAATACAAAATATATTCATCGGTTTCGATTTTGTAAATTTAATCGGTTTCATAATTTTTTTTTTCCAGCGCCGGATCTTTTTTGTCTTGCTGAAGGCTGTTCTCCCATATCCGAGTTAGATCCCAAGGAATTATTTTTACTCACAGGTATGCTATGAAAGCTATATGTTTATTTACATCACCGTTTTTTCTGGTTATCATAATGATCTCCTATTTGTACAAGTTTAATGGCGAAAATTAACCTTAACTAAACAATTCCAGAAATGTTTGCTGCTCACTGTCACGATTATTACCTATTCGCTCAGATATTTTATTTCAATCAGGCTATTATTTTACCGTACGTATAAGGTGAAGTATTCTTACCATGATAACATTACAAATAAACTATTTTAATTGCTTTTAAAACCAGGAGCTACCAAAGACGGGTAGCTTTATAAAAACCCATGAATGCAGAGGTCCACTTAACGCGTAAATAAAACCGACTGGTTCTTTCTTGCCGGATCTCTAATGTATATAGATGGTAATGCTAGACGTTACTTGAAGTGGGAATTAAAACAAAACTGAATGCCAATACGGCAAAGGGCTGATTTATTTAAGACTAATATTTCAGCTAATGAAATTAACCTTCCTCGGGGCCAGGGTACACTCAGCGAAAGAGAATGCGTATCTTTACTCATGACCAGCAAATGTTTCAACTAGTACAACTTGCGGTCTTTAGGGCCAGTGTTTTGCTGAAATGTATTATAATGGCTGAATCCTCCAGCGGGAAAAATGCAGTGAATCCTGTGTTCTGATTGGCTACCAGAGCTGGCTAGATGGGCTTGTCTTGCCCGCTCGGGATTTCCCGCACTGGTCCGGCAAGGCAAAAATTTGAATGATAACTTTCCAGAAACTTTAACTGAGTTTCATATCCCCTACCGGACGCAGGACCGCAATTCGCACGTGTCATCCGAGGCAAGTCACGTGAAGGACTATTTCTTTACAGGCCTATAATGGGTAATACCTATATCCAAAGTAATTTTAAAGAAAAGTGCCCTACCAGCTGAGCTAAAGTGACCTGCTGATTGAACACACTGTAAATGAGTTGTCCCCTGTCGTCTTTCTTGAACCTCTCAGGGGTGGCTTCCCATCACCCGCAACTCCCGCAGTTGGCGTTATGAAAAGGACTGTGGACTACTCAGACATTAGGGACCCTAAGCAACTACGACGACGGCAGTGAAAACATCAATAAAAAAATTAATTTGCGTCCTTTAATTCGTCAAATGTGGGCGACTTTTCCTGGCATTGAATTCTTAAGGGAATTATCCAGAATCGAAAATTTATTGTCGTATCTCCACGTCCTCTATAAAACGTCGCATTTGGAGGTTTCACATCGTAGTCGTGCAGTGGGCGTCAAAGAAATGTACTAAAAAGCATGATGCACGTGCAGAACTGTTGTTTTGGCTCTTAAGAAAACAAATACACAATCTATTACTGCTCGATCTTCTGAGACAGGATAGTTATGCTGATATAGACTTCCTAATCAATGAAATTAAAAAAAGGATGATCTTAATCCAATGTATTGCAACCTTTATTTTTCTACTTCTTTAAATATTTATTCATTCGTATTATTATCTTTTTTAACCTCTTTTTCCATTATGTTGTAAATCTCTCTAATTTTCCTTGTTAAATGTCTTTATATTTAACCATGTAGAGTACCCACACTGCCTGCCTCGAATAGCTTTAGCTAAATGTAGGCAGTCTGTATGTTTAATGTATTTCTTTGCTTTTTACTAAAATTGTTGTTGTTGTTGTTGTAAAACCAATTGTTGCTTGACGTTGTTGTTGTCGTCGTCGTAGTTGCCTAAGGTCCCCAATATAGTATTTCAACTAAAAGCTCTAATGGCTAGAACCACCTTGCATGACCTTGCATATATTATTCTTGGCAGAAAACTAGTCCTTGCAGAGAATCAAATTTTGTTCTCTTTGTAAAAATATTATTACGGCTATTTTTTCCTTATTTTTCTTTGTTGTCCACTTCACCTTTCGCCTCGATTAGCTTAAGCTAACTCCCGCTAACTGAGGGTTGTGTGAAATGTTTCCTTTTCCCTTTTCAGTTTACTTTAATTTATTACTTGCAAAGCTTTTTCATGTGCAATTAGTTGTTGTTATTATTAACAATCGATTTCTCTTTTCTTATGTAGACATGAAGGATTCCTTGACTGAAAGTTAATTGTCCGTAGATGGCACAATCCATGGCCAAATGCATATCACGCTGATTGAGTCATCACTTCATGTTAACACGACATTGTAGCTAGAGAGGTTAAAATCGTTTCGGGGAGGGACCATAGAAATTTACTCCCGTTTTTGCCAAGGCTGGTTTCTCTACGATCGTGTCATACTATGAGTTTTTTCAGCAGTCAAAGCAATCACATGACAACCAGGCATTACATTAACAAAAAACACTTGTCTTGAGGTAGAAAATGTCGACGCAAAGAATTGTACTTTGTTTCAAAGAATGCGTGAAATAAAACTTGTTATCTTGAAAAATGTACAAGGTTGTCCTTTCTGATAAAAAGTTAATATAAGGGAGGGGATTTACCTACAAAGGTAAGAAGTTGAACATTTTAGCGATAAGAAATGAAACACACCCATTCTGATCTCAGTGTTAGTTCTACATTTTACTTCCGGTGCCTCCCTCAAATGTAGTACTGCTAAGAAATGAAAAAAAGCTTCAACTCATTTTGGGGGGTCTTAGCATTTTTTTCCAGAATTCAGTTGAGTAGATTTCTTTGAAGTCAGTTCTTGTGCCGGATAGTGTGAATCACTAGTCAACACTATTTATAGTTGGGGGAAAAAATTCTCGAACATCTATTAATGTGTCGGCTTCATTGAGAATTAAATATTCTCTTGTTGACAAGTCTTTTCATTGCAGTAATGACTCGATTAACGCCGCCCTTGAGATATGATGCGAATAAGTTTTGCAAAGCACGAAAGACCTACCAGGCGTGTACTGACGCCAGTCTCAGAGCATGTTCGTGATTGTAAGTGATGCATTGTAAGAGCTTTTTTTTCTTTCTGTAAACTATCTCTAACTAAAGTTCAACTCTTTGCTTTTAAGACAGTATGGCTTTATGATTTTCACTCTAACTTTTCCAATATACGTTGGACGAAATTCATTGATGTTGCTATTCAAATGCCCGGGGGGTACTCCTGGGAATTCTTGGTGGAAGTGTGCGGCCCGGTTCTCCAAATCCTGACCCTGTTTCAGATCAAAAAATTGTCATTTTCCACATCCGTTTTCAGACATGGGGTGGTCACAAAACGCAACAACATAAAAGAGAAATTGTATCATCATTGCTGAGATTAAAACCGCAACAAAAAGAGTTCTTAAAATCCATTTCGAATTCTCATATTACACTTTCTTTCTTATGGATTTGGAATTGAAACGACGAACACATTGGTACATAACCGTAGTTCCTTCGTAAACCACACCCGATTCCAGACCAAGATGGGCAAAATCTATACCCGTTTTTAGACCAAATAAAACGGCGCTAAAACCCTATACTACCCTTTGAGGCGGCACATACCTATATGGTTTATATAAGGGAGTACTCCCCCCCCCCGATTCAAATAAAACTTCTTTGGCAGAACGTTTGTACACTAACTAACTATTTCGTGGGATTAAACGAAAAAATATTTGAATTTTTTTGTAATTTTTTACATTGGCAACTGTTAGGATTCGGAAAGGGTTAAATTTACAAGCTAGGGTCATCAATTATGAGTAACATGATGAGACATCTAGCCTTCTGGTAACCTGCGATCATGCCCTCTCCCTTTATCTCTGTAATCTGTGTTCGGGCGTAATTTTTTTCCCTCTCGAGCCAAAGAAGCAAAGAAGCACATAAAAAAGATTACGCCTGATCTCAGGTTAGCCTTCTGATCACCTACGTATTTTCTCTAACTTACTGAATTGGAAAGCAGCCCTTAAATTATGTTGACGCGTAAAAGTTGTGTTTCAAAGTATAAATATAAACCCCTTTGTTAGTCTTAAGACTCACTGCTTGCATTGTATAACGACATCTATAACGTGTGTGGTGTGATCGTATAATTATGATGACTCCGAAGAAAATCTCTTTTCCCTTCCCCCTCTCCAGTTAACTTTTTAAACCCTAAGATCAAAATCTGGATTCTCATTTGTTGTCACCATTCATTTCCTACTGAAGTAGTGGGGAGAAGTTGATAAAATATCAAGCAAATTCATCTTGTGTGATCATGTCTGTAATTCGCACGACCCTCTGTTTTGCAAAGCATTGAGGTTATTAAGGAGAAATTTGATGCTGATCACTCTTAGGGCTTAAAGGGTTAAACACCTGTTATCCCAATTCTAACATTTGCCGATGGATGTAGCTCTTTTAGGTTGATACGCTTTCCTTATCGCATTGTTTTGACCCTCTTTGCCGGAACAATTCAACTATGATGATTCTCTGGTCAAAGATAACAATGGGAAGGGAATCTCTGGAGGCCTTACACAAACAACAAGGTTGTGACTAAAATAAAAGACAATTCCATCTGTTACACTCCCGGGCCAATCAACAAAATTGATTTTGCTCAGTATTTTCCTGATTCCTACACTTGCTGGGAAAGTCGGTTTGCGCTAACATGACCTCTAACACGAGTTTTTAATGTTTAAACGTTTCCTATCTTTTATACATACTGTTCCGGACTTTCATCTAGGGTGAATAGAATTTGGTCTCTGAGTAGAAGTTATTAGCATTTTATCATCTCCATTTGCATGTTCTAAACGAGACAATTGAACTTAAATATCTTTGCATTTTTAGGCTAAAGTTCACCATCCTCGGAGGCGATCCAGCCCTGATCCTTTGAATTATGGTTTATCCTTTGGATAACTCATTTCAAAGGGGAACAACAACATACGATCAATTAAGGTTTCTGAGAAACTGCCCACCTACCCCTCCCCTAAGCAAACATTTTGCCCTGAGTTAGAAGTAAGTGATATCGTTGGCTTAGGGGAGGGGTATGGGTGGGCAGTTTCCCAGAAACCTAAATTGATCCAACATTTCTCCCCACGTAAGGATTCCGGATTCCGGAATCCAAGAAATTTTTCCCAGTGGAATCTGAAATCTGGAATCTGGAATCTGGAATCCGGAATCCGTAA